CTCTATAGTATACCCAAGTTCCAACGTGGCCCTCTGGGAAAAAATAATTGCCCATCCCTGTTCTAGAATCTCTATACTAGCCCATCTTATCAAACTTTGAGAGATTTCGTTAATTCTTACTGCTCGCAATAAACAACTTAATTTGCATTTTCCTTGCTTCAAAAGTCTGAGAAATCGCCCAGTTTTGTATATTCATTAATTCATAGGTTTTGTACATGGCCTAAATACACAAATGTGCTGATTGTGCAAAAATCCCCACTGACATTTAGTGGACTGGAGGTTTACTGTACAGTGATAATCATATGTCTACAAGCGATTTGAAAACAACAACATCTGGTGTTTGGCATTATATAAATATTGCATTGACATAAAAATGGTTTCATGTTGGAGAGCATATGACAACATGATTAATTCATTAGTCTGTGGTCTGATTATTATATACTCTTGAGGAGCGTATTTGGGCTTCGCTGACAACACATCTGTCAAAGGATCAACTTTGGAAACGCGTGCACGCCACCGACCCCCGAAGGCAATGAATAGCTGAGAGTTTTTAGAAAGTGATACATGAAACGAGGTCTTATTTGCATGTCCAATCTAAGTCAAATCATTTCTAAAAAATAGCCAAGAGGAATTAATTCAAAGCACAATTAAAGGGTACAATGGGCCATTAACAGTATTATGGCAGTGATCTACTGTATGACAATGTGCTTTTGTCTGGAATAAAGTTCAAATAGCTCCATGATTGAAGGATGAACTGAGACATATTATGGAACGTCTACTCTTCTGAGCGTTTAACCTTGTTACAACATTGTTCCCTCATCAAATACAGATCTGGAGTTGTTTTTAGATCTATCCACATCAATATCAAGAACTTCTGGCACAAACATGTAGCACCACCCCTTCTGTCTAAATGCTCCTGTTTCAGCCCTGTAGTAGTTTGATGTCACTGTACCACTATGACATCACGCTCAGAGCAGTTTTAGGACTTTTAAAACAAAATGATTGTCTTTAAATAAAAGCATTGAATACAATCACATGGCTGTGTTTGTAGCCTGTATTTTTCGTAAATAAACAAAACAATTTCAACTTCTCCCTCTGGTGGTGGCACAGGGAGTTACAGGCAGAAAGACTGTTTTACTCTTGATACTCGTTTCCCCCTCACATTTTCTACTAGTGATAATATTTCACATTCTAAATCATGAATGTATTTAGTCTCATTATACAGGATGCCATAATATGTCTTATTTAAATAGATCTTTACATTTTTCTAACTTTCATTCTACATTCTAGCAGTTTTCTTGTTTTTATTGGTGCTAAAATGCCAGTGCTACGCCACTGAACTTAATGTCCACTAGAGAATAAATAAATACATATATCCACAAACCAACAAAGTAAAGACCAGTGTGTGTCTGTGTGTGTGTGTGTGTGTGTGTGTGTGTGTGTGTGTGTGTGTGTGTGTGCACTTGTTTTCAACTCCTGGTGGGTTCCATAACCTGAGATTCCACTCACGTCATGGGGACTGGTTTTACGTGGTGGGGCCCGAACACCGGACCCCACTGGTCCAAGCTTAATAATCAATGGGTAATGCTTTTCTAACGGTCCTTATGCAGTCTCTGTAAAAATATGGAAAGGACCCCTGGAGGTTTACTTTCCTGAAAAAAGTGTGTTATGTGTCGGAACCCTGGTGGTGGGTTGCGGGATATCAAGGAGGGGCACACTGGGGCAATTTCAGTCCAGCAGGCTGGAGCCAATCATGGAGCAGCACAACAGAGGAAATCAGGTGTCAGGCTAGAAAAAGGTGCAAGTGTGTGGTTCATTAGGCTGCAAGAAATCATGGAGGAGCACACTGAAGCGCACGCTTACAAACCACTGGTAAGTGCTGACTACAAGTCATGACTTCAAATTGTTATATAGAATGATTACAAATTATTTGTTGTTTGTGCAGCTTAGTCAAGAGTCCCTAATTGATGAAGTCGACTCAGATTCTGACGATTTAACTGTCAAGAAGAAACCTGTAAAAAAGTATGGAAAAAGAAAAATCAAAAACACTTTTCTTCAAGACTCGGAAAGTGACGAACCAAAGGCAAATAAGATTGTTATCATGCAGCTGCAAAAGAAGAAAAATGGGGGGCGAGTATACAGCAAGAGACACTTCTGCCTCTACTGTTCAATGTCCTGCCACAAAATGTGCCGTCATTTGACTAGAAAACATGGAAATGAAAGTGACGTAGCCAGAGCATTGGCTCTACCTGTGAAATCTAAAGCACGTAAACTTCAGTTTGATTTGATCAGGAATAGTGGAAACCGTGAGCACAATTTTGAGGTTTTAAAGGCCGGCATTGGAACTTTAGTCCCAGCTAAACAGCCAAATTCCCCAGTTAAATCCAGTGAGTTTTTGCACTGTATAGACTGTGGGGCATTGCTTAAGCGAAAGTCGCTGTGGAGGCATGTGGCCAGGTGCCGGCTTTCACAGAAAGATGCCCAGGCTAAACCAGGTAGAAGTAGGGTCCAGTCCCTCTGCTCCCTAGCCCAGCCTGTACCGGAGGGCATCAGCAAAAAGCTGTGGTCTTTAATTTCGGCAATGCATCAGGATGAGGTCACGGGTGTTGTCAAAGCAGAAAAGGGGATTCTGAGACTCGGAGAGCACCTGTACTTAAAACACGGCATGATAAGACAAAGCATGATTACATTAGGCAGAAAATGAGAGAAGTCGGTAGGTTAATTAACGAAGCAAAAACCGCAGGGAAACTGAAAACAATTAAGGATTTCTTTATTCCTTCCAACTTTAACCATGTGATTGATGCAGTCAGGTCTGTGGCTGGATATGATGAGGAAACAAATCAATACAAGACTCCATCCTTGGCCCTCAAACTCGGCCATAGCCTCAGAAAGCTAGCAGATATTCTTGAATGTGACTCAAAAATGGAGCATTGTGTTGATGAACTATTTATTAAAAACCTCCAACGAAGCCGGCTGCTTTTTGAGAAGAGGTGGGACGTCTGTGTTTCTTCTGCTGCCCTACAGACCCTCCGGCAAGCCAAGTGGAACACTCCGGACCTGCTCCCTCTGACTGAGGACGTTAGAGCCATGCATGCACATATTGAGGTATGTCGACCTGAATATGTGCAAACCCTAATAAGTGAGCCAACGTCAAGCATTGGTCTAAACTGGCAGTTTTGACTCTTTGTGAGGTCATCATTTTCAATCGAAGAAGGGAAGGTGAGGTTTCAAAGATGCCACTGACAGCCTTTACCTTAAGAAGTAAGACTGGGATCCATTCTGACATTGCTCTGGGACTGTCCCAACTTGAGAAAAAGCTGTGTCAGCATTTTCAACGCATTGAAATTAAAGGGAAAAGAAGTCGGAAAGTGCCGGTTCTTTTGACTCCTGAAATGATTGCTTCGATGGAGGTGCTGGTGGAGAACAGAAGGGCCTGTTCCATCTCTGACCATAACCCATACTTCTTTTCCCGCCCGGGCGCAGACACCCACATCAGGGGATCAGACTCCCTACGCCAGGTAGCCAAAGAATGTGGTGCGGTGCATCCAGAGATGCTATCCTCAACCAAACTTAGAAAGCACATAGCTACTATGTCTACAGTTCTCAATATGAAAGAGAATGAGATGGACATACTTGCCAACTTCCTCGGCCATGACATTCGCATCCACAGGCAATATTACAGACTACCAGAGGGGACACTGGAGCTGGCCAAAATCAGCAAAGTGTTGATGGCCATGGAGCAGGGAAGAGTGACGGAATTCGAAGGAAAGAGCCTCGACCAGATACAAATTGAGCCTGAAGGTAATTCTTGATATTATTAAAATATGTATGATTTTTTTCCCCTAAAGGCCACTTGTATTTTTATTTTCTGTGCGACAGGGAGAGCAGTAGAGATCCTCTCACAAACGGACGGGCTAAAAGAAACTTCAAGCGGAGAACCTTCAACCATTCATCCAGATGCACCCCATGGTAGTGGCAGTGCCCCTTCTGGTAAGTGTACCAGGTGGGGGATTACAGCCAGGCTGCTTGGTCCTCACCCTGGGAGTGTATATTGCTAATATATTTTTATTTCTCTCCCTAGAACGTGTAAGAAAGCCATGGTCTGCATCTGAGGTGAAGGCTGTGGAGAAGACCATGACACCTTTCATACAGACTGGAAAGGTCCCTGGGAAGTCTCACTGCCTGGCCTGCATTAATGCCTCACCAGATGACCTTAGACATCGGACATGGAGTGGCATTAAATTCTATGTCAAAAATAGAATCACTGCAATTCGAAAACAAAATCTAAAATAAAATTCCTTTAAAATAGTTGTTTGGTTTCTATTGACTGTTTTGTATTACTTAAAGTCTTGGTAAAAAAAGATTATGTCTATGGGTCCCATTCTGAACGGCCCTGTCAAAGGGACCCACCAGGTAACAAAAACGTGTATGTGTGTGTGTGTGTGTGTGTGTGTGTGTGTTTGTGTGTGTGTGTGTGTGCTGGTGGTGATGCCGTGACGTAAAAGCAGTAGAATAAATACTGGGTTGTAAGATCGCTAAATGCTTTCATAAGCCCATATGCAGCCTTTTTTATGATTGTAAGCAAATTACATAAATGCCTGGTTTAAAATAACGAAATTCTGTGTGCCCCATTTTTCTTTAATTATTAATCAGATTGTCCTCTTGTAATTTGGACACATGGATCCCTTTGATGATCTTTAGATTTCAGCAGAGAGTTGGCATTTGTGCTCTGGGAATAAGCTCTATGATCCTTCCAAGGCTTGCTAATTAGTCGGAGTGCACAGGAAAGGTCAACCACTTTACTCCTATAGGGCCTATATATACACAGTAGATATGGACACTGTGAGAAATGTGGACAACCTGACAAACGCAACCTTAGAAGAAAGTCACATGGGAAATGAGCTGTGTTATTTCTCATTACGAACCCACAACAGTACATATTACTCTTCTTCTTATCAACGGTTTGAGCTGAATGAAGACTTATTCAAATATTGTGTTACCTTCATCATCGTCGTTGGCGCTGACCGTGAGCACAGCGTAGCCCACATCTGCGTCTTCGTCCACGTCCACGTCGTACGCGGTCTGAGCGAACGCCGGCTTGTTGTCGTTCACGTCGCTGATGAAGATACGAACATATGCTGTGTCTGACAGGAACAAAACACAAGAGGGAAAAAGGGAAAGAGGGACAGGTGAGAAGAAACAAGCTTCCAACGCTCCTATTCTGTCACAGGATACAGCTGTCTGTACTTTTGAGAAAGACTGCATGGCTCCATCGGTTCACAATAACATATTTTAGACTGTAATTTCCAAACTAAAAGCTGCTATATAACCCTGCGGCTTATATAGAAAAGCAGCTTCTATGTGTGTCTTTATTGTGATAGAGTTGTCAGAGCATATGGACCATTTATTTTGACCCCATCAAGTTTTGACCCTCTCCATCCATTCATTTTCTTCCACTTTATCTGTTGCCGGGTCACAGGGGCAGCAGTCGAACCAGAAACGCCCAGACTTCCCTATCCACACGCTCGTCCTCCAGCTCATCCGGGGGAATCCCAAGGCGTTCCCAGGCCAGGTGAGAGACACAGACATGCATTTAGTGTAAAAATAGACTGGTGAATGAGCACTGGCATGAAAGTGGCATAACGGTTAAGCTGTTGGTTTGGGCTACATGAAGATGTTCTTTTGGCTTCAGACCATGGAGTACTCAAATCTGTCTAGTTGCGGTGTGCAGTGGTGTCCAAACACAGCTCCGGTCTCTGAAATTAGTGATACAAGTCCGGAGGGTACTAAAGACAAAACTAAGTTGGATTGGGATATTCTCCATAGTTAGCAAGAGCATCTCTTGCTGTTGAAATAATTGTATAATCATTATGTTTTATCATTGCTTTGTTTTTACAATCTTACAGTCCTTGTTATAGTAATAGAGATATGTACTGTTCTGGGAAGGTCACTCTCTTCGAGAAGCAGGTGGCTACAAAGTAAGCGGCTTGTCCTGAGAAGATCGCGCTTTCGGAGAAGCGGTGACTCATCAACTGCGCATCTCCATCTTGTTTGTAACAAATTTAACATTCAATGTTTTTCCACAAAGTCAGCCGTTTCCCCCCTCCCTTTAGGGCTGACTGGTGCCTGTAACTAGGGGCGTGACACTTAATAAAAGGAGTGCGAAGCCAACAGAGACCCCAGAAGCTGTTGGAATCACACTGAAAAAGACTAGATTGTATACTGGGTCTTGATCTCTGTGACGGCTTCTCACTTGCAAGTAAAAAAGATCACGCGCTTTGTCTCTTCTTCCTTTTATGCAGAATTTTTGGTGAAACCAGCCCCAACATATGCTCATAACGTTATCGATGGAACCTAAATTAAAATTATAAGACTGTATTATCTTTTCTAATATTTATCTTTCTCACAGTGCGATGTAATTGCTCAATCCAGCAGCATTATTATTTGTTTTATCTTGTGCATTCATTTTCAAGCTTTGGCTGATGCACCCCTGGGGTAGGAGCATGGAGCGCGTTTGTTGGTGCAATCCAACAAACTATTTGTCTCTTTGATATAGCAATCAAAATGAACATAATTTGTGAGCGCTGAAAGATAGAATTAATTATTTAGAGAAGGCTATGGACGGTGTAGAGTACATAGCATCTAAGGTATCCAATGGAGCTAAGCCGGCTTGATACAATTATACAGAAAAGCAGGACTCTTGTTGAAGTTTGCATCAGTTCGATCAAACAATTCTAATTCAGAGTTTAAAAAAAATACGTATAGAATGCTAGGCTTCATTAGGGAAAAATCAGGTTGCAGAAGAATGCATTAAAACACTCGAACGGATGTAACCGAGAATCCAATGTGTGTGTGTCTGTGTGCGTGTCTGTGTGCATGTATGTGTGTATGCATGGCAGCAGATTTGAATGGAATCACCTAACAATAAAACATATCTTAAAACTGTAACACAATGGGGGGAAAATAGGATATTTCAGTGTTGCAGAAGAATACATTATTAAGATATGAATATAATAACCATTCTTAAGAATAATAGCTGAATTATGAAACATTAAAACTATAATGTGTGTGTGTCTGTCTTTGTGCATGTATGTGAGCATGTATGTGAGCAGAATGGAAAGTTCCTTGCAGAGGCTCAGACCGCATTGCCACCGTGTTTCTGCTAATTCAAGATAAGTCAAGATAATTCACAGTCACTACAGATGACGCTTTCTCTGGAGTCTTGCTGGTTTGTGATCTGCCTAATATTATAACCGCTGCTAACCCTGACAGAGATATCCTCATCTTTCAACCCGGGAGAAAGGTTGATATGTTAATAATCAAAATCCTATTTATTAAAATGATATGCAGCTCCGTCATGCTGTTTCCTCAACCCTGAGACTCCAGCCGCCCATCTGTTTGAACATCTGCTCCCTCTGCTCTCTCTTCTCTCTCTCGTTCTACCGCTGCTGCAGCATGCATGCATTTCATCTGGCAAGAAATAAGACAGAAGTGGCCAAATAGAGGAGAAGACAGCAGCAAAGCAGAGCCGGCAAAAAGGAGGAGAAAGATGGCTTTGTTTTATTTCATTGGGGGAGAGATGAGCAGATGTGCGGAAGAGGCAGGGAGCAGGAATGATTGCTCCTTTCAGTGGAGTTTGGAGGTATTAAATAAACTTTATAGAGCTGCTGTCAGAGGTGTCTTCCACTTTGGGCGAGTGGAAGAGCATGGACCATTAAGAAACAAATAGACAGATGTTGTGAGGGGGCGGGGAGGGGGGCGTACAACATAGAACAAGACCTAAAACAGCTTAGAGGCAAGATTATGGCAGCACAGCATTCAATATGATCGAAACATGCATAGACTTGTGAATGAAAATAATAGAAATAAAAAACAAATAGCAATGTGTGACTCTTAAATAAAAAACAAAATGAGTGAAAAAAAAAATAACATTATGAAAAACATATTACGCTGAAAACACACAGAATCGTAACTAACTTGACTAATCTGGCATTTCCAGAAAAAAAAAAAAAACTTTTTTACAACTATCTCCAACTAGACCAACTTTTTGAAGAGGTTGCCTTATAAAATCATGTTTTTTTAATGTATTCATTTGTTGACTTTTACGTAATCAGAAACGTCCCACTTTCAGATACTCTTTCTAAGGGGAGTCCTGGCCCCAGAGAGAGGGGAGCTATTGTACAGGTTTTCAGTGGTAGGGGAAACCGGAACACCAAATCATGATGTGATATCACCACATAATCAACAGTCCAGGATCAATGTCAAATGGTTTGCCCAGGATCATTGTTTCACCGGGTTAGGGCTTAAGTAGGGGTGTGGGTGTGAACAAACCACATCATGCTGTCTTTATGGTCTTAGAAAATATGTTAAATCTGAGTGAGGGCTGAAACTTCTTTCACTGGAAAAAGCTCATTTAAAGATGTGACTGAAAAATGGAAATACATGCATGTGAAAACCAGTGATTGAACAAAACTGTTGTGAATGTGAAGAACATGTTATTTCGAAAAAAAATCCATGTTATTCCTCCAGCTTCTACTGACACACATTCTAAATCTGAGTGCTGCCTTTCTCACAATCTTCAAACGATCAAACCATGTCTAAACCTGATTAAACCGGAGATAAATCAGACGTCAAGCTTACCAGAGTTGGGCTGTCCATGCTTTCCCGGCCGCGCAGACTCGTATCCATCCACCGACTGGACCTCGAGCAAGTAGGAGCTTTTGGTTTCACGGTCAAACACTGTCTTGGAGTGGATGTATCCCAGCTCTGGGTCAATACGGAAATACTGGAAGTCCCCACTGCGATCCTCCAGGAGAGAGTAGGAAATCTGCAATAACAATGTTGATAATTACTAAGCAGAGCGGAAGTCATATGGTGAGATTTTCTCCGGCCGGGCTGTACCTTGCCGTTTTGGCCCAAGTCGAGGTCGTTGGCCAAGACCTGAAAAACCAGGGTGCCTGCCTCAGCGCCCTCCGTGACTGAAGCCTCATAAATCGATGAGGTGAAGAATGGCACGTTGTCGTTTACATCTACAATGAAACAAGGTCAAACTTTTTATTTGCAAAGACAGTTCTTAACATTTTCTAATATTGATTGTTAAGCAGGAATGAAATAAAGTCATTTTTAAACAGCAAATGGAGCGCAATTCAATTCAATATATGTACATCACTGAGTAACATCACTGAGTAACATATACGTTGATAATGATAACTGATACCAACTTGTCTCCACGGTGATATGTTTCTTTGCTTGAATTGTTCCAACAATATGGTACCAGACATATAATTAGCATTTATTCTACAAAGGTACCGATCCAGATTTTGTAGTCACCAAACACCAATACAGATCCTACTAATTTTGTTCGGCCGGTCACCGATCATGGCTGATATATAACGTTGAATTTGTGACACAGACATCAAGATCTATAGTTTTACAGTGATATGTATTCCTTATAATGCTTAATAGCCCATGATTTCTCGACTCCCTTGTATGCTTTTAGCGCCATCAGTCTGTTGGTTTTATCTAGCAGTTGTCAGGAATGATAAAGAACATGTCCCTTTTCACATGAGCTAGCTTAAGTAAAAATACATTTTCCGAGACATACAATCACAGAACACCTATGCATAACACAGACACTGTTGCGTAAGTGTGTGGAATAGAGCAGTCCACATTACATACCAAATGTGCACATGTTTTTGCAGTCAAAGTGCTTTCTGTGGAGTAATTGTTTCTTTTGGGATTAAGAATAATTTAATGGCATCCACTGTGCAAAAGTAGTAGGGGATTAAAAGCACTACAGCTGCCTTGCGCCTGTGTTGTAAGCAGAATCAGTTTTGCTCAGTAGGGTCAAAAGCTTATCGACACCACATTAAGCAGCAATGATGGAGATGCAAGCCTAGTTACCCAGGGCAAAAAATCTGATAGGAGCCACGCCGCGCCGGAGTTGTCAAATTCATCCAAAATGAGTTTACTGGACGACTCTCTGGAGCCGGAGAAATGGGTCATGGAGGTTAGCATATACGTTGCACTCTTGAGCTCATCACATTCACAACAGCTGGCGGGCTGGGCACATTATTTGGATTTGTACAGCTTTGCAACGCAAGCTTTCAAACCCAAAATTAGAGTGAGACCGGACTTAAGAGAGCACTCAATATCATCAAGCGTCTGTTCACTAAAATGCCCTCTCAGCGGCTACATGTCGGCTGTGCTAAATTATGCACAGTTGTCTTCCTAGAAAGAGGAAAAGTAGTGGCCTTACTGTTTTAATGCTTGAACAAATATTATGCAGTCAATGTTATTCCACTTATTCCCACGGAGTCAGCATGAAGATTTGAATCGTTCATGCTTTTTTGAGCTTCTGTTTGGCTGCATGCTGCATTAGGGCTGTTTCAAGTTCAGAGATTTTCCATTTATTTGGGATTTTCTGTTTCTAATACATCAGAAATAGCTTTGTACAGTCAATGTCACAGTTGTTTAATACATTTCAAAAGAAGTGGCAAAGCTTCATTCAAGAACAAACCTGTCACGTTCACATATACGGTGGTGAAAGCTGCCAGAGGCACAGCAGCCACGTTCTGTGCTCGAACTCGTAGCATGAAGTTCCTGGTGGTCTCGTAGTCCAGCGGTTCGGCCACCAGGATGGAGGCGGAGCCGTCCTCTCGATTAGGGGTCAAGTAAAAGCGCACTGGCATGTTGGTTTCAGGGACCATGCCGTCCTCCAGGTTGTATGTGACTCTGGGATCTCCAAGTGGGGAAGTTGCTTTGATTGTCTAAACACAATGGGAAGTCATAATTATAAAACTGTTTTGCACATACATTTCCCTGCGTTCACTTCAGTGTGTGAAAGCTTTTAAGTGGACTGTGTCATCCAGCTCATGCTAATGAAACAATACAAGACACTGTGCGTAATCTTCAAACTGTTACTTCAGAACAAGAAACCATTGAAGCCCAATGGGATCAAACACAAACACACATAGCTCTTCATTTTTCTAGATGAGTAACCTAATTAAGAGAGGCTACAACTACAACATGCCATATTCACCCAATTAAAATAAAAATGCCATCTGAGAGATGATGCGGCTTGCCTATGGCTGACCTAGCTTTAGCTGCTCAACCTGCAGTGCAAAGCCACTCGAATAATGAGACAGCCTATCAGGCATGCTCAGTGTGCAAACACGCCTGGTGACTGCATGTGCTGATTTGGCCCGTACAAACCACACATTTTATGGCAGAGCTATTAAATTCCACTGAGAGACACTGGCTGTTTGCATAACAGACAAATCAACAATGAACTGCCATCTCCATTAATAAACTGTACTAGTGGGACTATATCCTCTCTCCCTCTATAGGCATCTCACAAACACTTTCACATGTGAAGCCCTTTTTTGTTTGTTCAGTTCCATTTACTTGTAATTAATCAGTTTAATTTCTTGATGAGTGTGACAAGAATCTGAAAACAGTTTATTAAGTAGTGCTATTAAAATATATAAATATTAATGTTCTTCAGGACTTCCCTACAACCCAAACTATGTACTGTATCATGCAAACGTACAGAGGCTGTTCAGTGCTGATCTCAAACCTGATCAAACTGCTTAAATGAATGGTTTGAAGCATTCTCCAACCAGCTGTTGATGAATGTTGTTTGATTATCATGAAGATGAACAGATCATGGAACCAAACAGCATAGTGTCCCAAGTAAGTAAGTAAGTAAGCTTTTATTTATATACCGCCTTTTCACTGCACATCGGAGTCTCAAAGCGGTTTACAATTGTTATTTTTTTGGGAGTGGGGGTGCCACTACAGGAGGCACATGCCATACCTATTGTACATATTTTTTAGTGGTAGGGGAAACCGGAGCACCCGGAGGAAACCTACGCAGACACGGGGAGAACATGCAAACTCCACTCAGAAAGGCCCTGGTCCAACCGGGATTTGAACCCAGGACCTTCTTGCTGAGAGGCGAGAGTGCTATCCACTCAGCCACCGTGCCGCCCACGTTCAAGATACCTTTGAGTGTGTGTTGACTTACCACGACAGGGGTGTCCCGGACAGTGTTTTCAGGGATGACCACGCTGTAGCTGTCCTTCTCCCACTGTGGAGGCTGGTTCTTTACATTGGTAATAGTTACAGAGAGTTCCACAGAGCTGCTACGATTCCCACCATCTGTGGCTACAATCTCTCGAGTGATGAATGTTCTCTGTAAAAATTATTGATGATTACAAAAACAAAAACACTCCAAAAAGTCAAATGCTTATAGCAGTAAGTTGGAAGCATTTAAGTTTAGTTTTCTGCATTGTAACTAAAACTAAAATGAATATCTGTATCACTAGTTGTATAATTGTGTAGGCTTGAGGTATTAATAAACCTGGAAGTTGCAAACAAGCATAACGACACAACATAATAGAACACTGGTGCAATGCCAAATGCTAGAATATGATGCTAAGCACAAAGGCTTCGTTCTTGGCACTCACTTGGAGGAATTGTTAAACTTGCATTGTTGCCCAATATTATCACTTATATAAATCCTTTGCAGATAACCTTAAACCACCCCCTTCATAAAAAGTTATAAATATTGCATGAAGTTATTTCCTATAGAAGTGCAACGTCTGGCTGTGAGGATGTGGAACCTCACTGCTACTTGGAGACATAGCTAGATGTCCTAGCTGGGGATTCAACGTTTTGGGGGTGGCTGACAACCAGAGCCTCATGCAGTTTCTTCATTATTGACCTTATAACTAATTTTACAGACATGCTAAATTTACTTCCCACGTTTGCGAATGCTTATACTGCAGGAGTATGTATCATTGAATAAAAGGCCTCATGTATTCGCGATCATCACAGTGGATGCATCTTCATAGAAATACTGCTGGTGTCTCACCTGTGAAATCGGTTGGTTCACGTAGACCCATCCAGTCAGAGGGTTCACTCTCAGGTACTCTGGCAGCTCATTGGACATGGAGTAAGTGACCGCAGCGTTGGTCCCGAAGTCATCATCGTGCGCTGCCACTCGTAAGAAGCTGGTCCCAATCATGGTGTCTTCACGTAAAAAATCTGTGTGTAGTAAGAAAAGTTTGTTCCTGAGCAATGACCATACAGTATTTCCTAATCGAGGGAAAGGTGCTTACACTCATAACGGATGTTCTCAAATTTGGGGCTGTTGTCATTCTGGTCCAGGATAAGAATGTTGAGTTGACAGATGCCGATCAAAGGGTCCACTGCCTGGTCTGTGGCGGTCACTGTTACGGCGTACTCCCGCTGACGTTCACGGTCAAACTTTCGAGCAGTCACAATAACCCCTGTAAAAGTGGCATAGTCACTATCAATGAAATACAGATAAATACATACACTGGCTTGCACTGGAGCACGCTAGAGAGTTCTCTGCTAGCTCTGGGTGAACATCAGGACATCACGCAGCAAAGCTTTATCCATCTATCATAGACTGTACATTGATGGACATTGCTAACAGTCTAGTTCAATGAAGCCCAACATGGAAGTACGCATGGTCCATGTTTTAATTCGCTCTGGTTCCTTTTGACTCGAAACATAAACTACTTTAGCTCAGTAACCTTTTGTCATCATTTTGAGATGTAAAAACCGGTGATTGAACAGTGCCCTAACGACTGACCGATCCGGACCCTTCTCTTGCCAAATTTGGCTTGAGATTGCGAATAGTGCAAGACTGGAGCTGTTCCTGATTGGCGCTTGGTGATTCGGAAGTCGCTATCAACAAATTCTGCATACATTTGGCCCCACTTTCCCGCTCAAATAGCCGAACAATACGGGTAAGCGTCCGCGCTCGGTCAGTCCACTCCTGATGTACAGTCTATGATCGAGCAGTATTTCCAACAGATGGGATCCAACTAACAACTATTATTTTCATGATATATTTGTTTTCCAATTGTTTTTTTGTTTAATTGATTAGTTCACATTCTGATGGATTTGACTAAAACAAAGCTCAAGTGATGCCCCTAGAGAACATATTCATGAGATTTCTTATTAAACATTGGATTGTTTGATTAAGAAGACTTTCATTCTGGAATTGTCATAATCTTAAAATTTCTTCCCAGAATGTTTAAGGCAATGCATGGTTAAAAAAGACGAATCAATTACTAAATAAGTTGCAACTGTTTTAATGAGGGCGACAGTAGCTCAGTTGGTAGAGCATTGGCCTTAAGCCCAGAAGGTCGTGGGTTCAATTCCCACCTCTGCACCTTCTCCACCGACTCCCACTGATGACTGCTGTCGTTGTGTCCTTGGGCAAGACACTTAACCCCACTTTGCCCAAAGCCCCCACTGAAAGATCAAGGCTATGCTCACACTCAGAGAGCAGCCTGTGGACTCACCACCTGCAGAGGGTCAGTGAGGGGCTGGTGCTATGAGACTTGGGTGGCATCTCTGATTGCCACCCCCCTGACCCAGAAATGGATTAAAGGGTAGAAAATGGATGGATGGATATTTTAATGATCGATTATTTGAGATGAGTCGGTTCTATTGTTACAGCCTCTAGATCCAACAGAACCACTACACCTCACTACAAGTCTACCAAAACAAGGTTTTATCAGCACCAAAATAGCCAAGAGTTCCATATGTTTTTGATGTTGTTTGGATAGGGGCCTGCTTTTGCTGATTTTTTTCACTCAGTTGTGACTTCATCCATAGTATCCATATCCTCACCTGTGTCTGGGTGGATGCTGAATGCCGGCACAGTGGAGTCCTTGTGCATGAAGCCGTATGTGACTTTTCCATTGGAACCTTCATCTGCGTCTACAGCATGGACCTGCAGGACAAACGTACCGGCCGGTTGGCTCTCCAGGACGGCTGTGGACTCGCGGTACTGCTGACACTGGGAACGGACAGAGGACAAGTACAGGACACTCACTTAGTCATTCGGACAAGTATTTAATTAAAGGAAGAGTAATGTGAGTCTACAATGCAGAGGGATATGTATTTATAAAGATCTGCTTTGATTTATGGTTTGTACTGAATGTTCCACGGGGACCAGTTGTTTAAATTGAGGGAAGTCATCCAATTTACAGCAACATTAAAATAATTGGATCAAATTAATCATGTAAATAATAATGCATAAATGCAAAGATACAAATGAAATGATAAAGGCCAAAAGCGTAAGTACATGTAGATGAATTATTGAAGACCACTTTGTATTACTTTGCAGTTCACAACAACAAAATTTCAAGCAACATAAAGCAAGTAAATTTGATCTTCACTTCTATAAAGTGAACCAAAACATCAAATGCAATATGTTAAGATTATAGAAAAATATGTGTATTATAGACAGTGATGGAAGTATTTGCCCGAGAGAAGCAGTAATCTTTTTGGACCAGCTTCTTTTTAGGAAAGGACTGTATTGTTGTCACCCAGGAGCCCCTACGGACAGTGATGACCAAGGAGTGCCTTTAATGTGGCCTCTAAGAAATATTTGTAACTTAGCTAAAACCAGTTTTAATAACTCTAGATTTAATAAAGCCAGATTTAAAGTACCTGTTCTAATTCCAACTTTAAAATGTACAGTATGTTGCATGATTAGTCATGGTTTTACTTGCTTTCAAACTTGTTTTTGTGAATAGTTTTGTATGACTGTGCCCTGTGTATGATTGTGGCATAATGTAGATCCTTCTCCACGTCGAGAGGACCCAGTTGGGGTGGCTCTGGGTGCCTCTAGACACTTTCCTCGGGTGGTTGCCGACACATCTAACTGGGAGTAGACCCCAGGGAAGACCCAGGACACATTGGAGGGACTATGTCTCTCATCTGGCCTGGAAACACCTTGGGATTCCCCCAGATGAACTTGAAGAAGTGTGTGTGGATATAAAGTCAGCGAACCGGCAACGGATAGAAGAAGATGGATGGATAGAAAAAACCCTCACAGATCTCAAGCGCATTAATAACCTCTCTACTTGTTCTTTTAGTGTACTTGTCCGATACATGTCTATATATGAAGGCCACTTATCAGACATTATTACCCTTTATGATCACACAAAGGCTTCCATGTTCTTTGTGTGCTGAGTATTTGTCAGTAGTCCTCCATCGCACTTCTTCCACTCCTCTTCAGTATTCATCATATGTGTTTTCACTCTCCCTGAATGTCGCTGATGTGCAGTAAACAAGAGAAGGAAGGTACCCCTCTGCTGCGGCGCGTCATGCCTTCCTCTGACATCTAATTAATGGCTCTCCAGACTAGTTTTCATCTTTTCTTCTTTTCACACTTCACGCCTATCCTCATCACTTTCATTCTGTTTTCCATTTCCAAAATATCACAAAGCCCATGCTCTGTTATTTCAGTATGATTTTCACTGTGTTTATCCCTCATGAACCCTTTTTCATCAATTATGATTCATGTCCATCAAAGCAGATAGAATATTTATTTTAAGAAGAAATACAAGAAAGGGGTACTGTGTGAAAATATGTGTGCACAAAAAAAGTAGTAGTGTGCTGTTAGGAATACAACGGGAACACAGTAATAAGATCATGATCACTCGGGTGTTGCTTTCAGCTGAAGTTCATTGGGGTCTTTGCTGCTCATTGGGGACATGAATAAAATGCAGGAAGACAGTTCTATTTTTTTTGTAGTGTATCTTTATAATACTGAGTGCTGTATGTCTACTATTGTTAACATGCTATAATCCCCATGGATATATTTGTTGTCTGCTTTCGACCCATCCTGTAAAGACACCAGGCACTCACAGACCCATGCCCAGATGTTGATGCTCGGCTTGGTCAGGACCACCGGAGCTGGAGGATTTGACCAATTTTTAGAGGTAGGGGAAACCAGAGCACCCAGAGGAAATCTACACAAACAAGAGGAGTACTGTATCTCCACTCACAGAGGCCTTTCTTGCAGACAAGCGAGAGCGCAAACCATTCTGTCACTGTGTCTAAAAAGGTAAAGATAAAGAAATGCATAACAAATAAACTCAAATTAACAAGTTGGATTAAACGGACCTCATTGAAAATTAAATCATAAATGTCAACGGACTTTCCTTATGCAAATCAAAAACAAATGTATAGTACTCTCAAACTAACAAAAGATCATGTACAGGTGAAACTAATACATTTGAAGTTTTGTTCGAAAGTCAATTTACTTCTATAATTTAACTAACAATGTCAAAATGTAAAAAAAAGTGAGACATGAGCCTTTATGTGTTATAATGTTGATAATTGGCACACAGCTTCAATAGAATATTTTGAAAGTAAGTCACAATAATCCAAAAGATAACAAAGGCTTAGCAAAATGTCACTTTGCAAATGAATCTACTTTTGAACAATATTTTAATTCTCACCCTATTGTTGTCACCATACTAAATTTCAACCTCTATCTCAATGCTAAAACAAATACTTTAAAATCAAATACTGTGATTATTCATGTTATTTATGGACACTTATTTTTTGCCATTTCTGAGAGCCACATGTTCTTATATACATAGTTTAAAATATATCCAGAAATGTAAAATGTTGTCCTGTTTATGTGTTTATTTTAGTTTCAAAATTGATTCAAATCTGATTTTTAAGACTTTTGACAACACTGGCGAGCTGAAAAATTCTCCTTTTTATCACATGAAGCTTAAAAGGCAAAATACAACTATTGCTGGAGGTTTATGAGCATAGATGTGAATAAAATAACATTGTGAAAAGGTCAAGATGGGATTTTATCTGATTTTCCACTACTGAAAATGAAAAATACTTGAAATATTTAGCTAATTTTCATGTTTTAAATTGTAGAAAGACTCCAGTTCACAAACAGTCATTGACTATTCCAGGCCTGTGGCTGAGGTTATACATTTGGCTCATCTTTAAACCATCCCACTGAGTGTTTTTGTGCGCCCCATACAAAAATCAGCAGTGGTTTAAAAAATCTTTCTGTTATTTCTCTTCATTTCTCATAATGTTTCTTTGTTATTTTTTCACTTGCTTGCTTAGATCAATGATAAATACTACTTCCTCTGTAGAAAATCTATTTAGTGAAGCTGTTTGTTCATAAGGCAACAAGGCAACGAGTCAAAGTGGATGGATAATTGATTAATTATATTGAATTCTCTTATAACTATTTGATTTCTAAACTCGGGCTCGGAGTTTCTAAACTAGCCGGGCGTAAAATCACACATTTATAGAACTCATTACAATATTATGACTTTGGTGTTCAAGGGGTGCAGAGACAAAGCTAAGCAAACATATTTATCCTCTGATTGTGTTGACTTTTCGCTGAATTATAGCGTGACCCTGTTCTCGGATAACCTGCCGAATGACACGCACATTAAACAGATGTTAGCCTGACAGCCCCTCTCCGCGGAGCATGCTGTGTCTGATTGTGGCTTTTGTCCACATTTCACAGTATGCAACCTCAGATTTGCCCCGTCATATATTGGTTTTAGTCTTAGCATTGACCGGAGCTGTTTGTCTGCTGGTGCTTTTCATACTATTCAATATAACAGACACGAGCGGAGAAAAGTCTGGGTTTTTGCTTGTTAAAATGTTTGGAGAGAAGTGTGTTCAAGTAGCTGATAATGACAAATTGAAAAGAGACCACATGCAGGGCTGGCAATGAGTGTTTTTCATTTATCTTACTATAAAGTGTTTTTGAACTGACTGAGAAATCAATGAGCCTAACATAAAGAGGACAATAAAAACTAATATATGAATTATTTGTTCAATATCTAATGGATGGAACACTATAATTTGGCCTAATCGGTAAACAGAAATATTATTTATTTTATTCTATAATATTTTTGTAATATTGTCTCCACTTTGAGATACCTAAGAACATAAAGGAAAAGGGGAAATGAGGAACTTTGACAGATTTCATTTCATGTGTATTGGCCCAGGAATTACAGAGACATGCTCAAAACTAAGAGTCTAGTTACCATAGTTACCAGGAGATATTTTTCCAGCTGCTCTCTACCACAATAGTAAACTAAAAACTCACATGAATGCAACCTGTATAGTATACATAGTGTGTACGAAAATCCTTGAAATATGACATTTTTATGGCTCATAAAAAGTTCTTAATGTTTTTGGGTTCTTTTGTTTCAGGATATGACGTTTAATTTAATAGACCAATTAAAACTAGTTCACTGGGATTCTACTTCTTGATGTGACAATCTATCATTCTATTTTTTCCATTAAAATTAAGATTAAGAGATCCTTTTCTCGTCCCACAGTGGGGAATTTTCAGTGTTGCATCACAAGTTATAGAACAGTATAGGAAAGAGTGAACAATAGCTATACTAATAAGCAAAAAAAAAGAATCTCTAGCATCAATAAAAGTATAAAATCTATCTTGAAAATAATAATAAAAGAAGTGTAAAATACTATACTAATACAATACAATACAACACTAATTGGTTATTGTTGAATTATTCAGGTGTTGTGTCACTTCAAGAACAAAATAAATACTTTCGCCCCAGTTTGGACTTGACTTGACTTTGGGGTTTGAAGCAGTAGCAGTAGAGGATTTGCCAATATCCCCGAGCCCTCAGCATTTATCTCTGTCTCCCTGTGTGAGAGTGTGTATTGCTCCTTGTGTCTTGGCCCACTGATCCGGCCTACAGCTCCAGAGTGGATGTAGTGCGTTATAAGATCAGGCATCAAAACAAGATAAAAGGCCCTTTCTGCTCCAGTGTCCAGCTGCTGACTGCCCGGCGACCCAGAAAACACCGACCACAGATGTCTTAACTCCCCTAACAAAAATCACCTCTGCTTTTCCCATTCAATCTTTTGCATTGCTTTTGTCTGTGCTAATTTGACCTTGTCTGGGAGCTCCTCTGCAGTGTCTTTTGTTCCCATGCTTTTTTTTATTTTTTATTTTTTTAATCTCAATATATCTCTTCAATATCTCTCCTTTCCTAGGGGAGTTTGTGGGTTGTTTGTCTGTTGCAATCAGCGTCCTTCCAGCGCAAGAGAAAGGCATGACTCATACATAGGCTCGAATGCCAGCGGGAAATATCCACAAAGAAAGTGTTTTGCCTGTGTGTGTGTGTGTGTGTGTGTGTGTGTGTGTGTATGTGTGTATTTCTTGCACACTGAGCACATGAAACGATCCAGACTAAGGGAACCCTCGCCTTTTGGCTCTTGTCTCATCAAAGCCCCGTTGGTGATTCGTCTCGCTAAAAGGTGAGCCCCAAAAGGGAACGATATCTTTCCTTGCTGCCTCCCGGGACTGTGTCTGAGTGAGGTTTACACAGCTCGCTCTCAGACCTCGGCTCGTGGAGGAAAGCTCACCACACGTTTGAGATTGAGACATGAATCGAGGTAGTGTCCTCCTGTCTGCAATGACTAGGATTTGGCCCACATCCCTGGAAGCTTTAATTAAAAGACTGGGATGATGTAGCAAAGAGATGAGAGAGCAAAGACTGGGGTCAAGCTGGCTAATCGCTCCTCCACAGAGAGATGACACTGGCTAATAAATAGAGAATGTACGAGGAGGCCGGCGGAAATTTGAAAGAGAGCTATGTATATAAGAATTGCACACTCACCAATGTAGTCATATTTGATGTCAACCATTGAACGCGAACTTGATTTTTAAAAGGAACTCTGACATTTTGTTTACTTGAATTTTGTCTTGTGCGAAAACATTTCAGAGCTGGTGTCATAGCTAATAAGTGGTTAGTTATTCATATATATATATATATATAAAACATTGGTGTAGGTTAGAACAGTGTTTTTCAACCAGTGTGCCGTGGCGTGTTTGTGTGCCTTGATACTTTTCTTGGTGTGCCTTTGGAAATGATCCATTATCATCTAGTTGGTCCAAATACTGTGACCGTTTTTTTGGACTGGTTTTATTTTCAATGATACATACACCTTGATGACAGTGGCTTTGCTTTCTTATTAAAAGCTGCCGAGTATAATATTTTGCATCCGTTTTTGCTGGTGGTGTGACGTGAGATTTTTGTCAATGAAAATGGTGTGCCACGGCAGGAAAAGGTTGGGGGGACACAGGGTTAGAACACGAAAACAGTGTGGGCATGGCTTGCAGAAAAACCAGAAACATTTACGAATCCAATTTCAGAATGCATGTAAATCCTGCACGTCCACTGAGACGAGAAGAATCCACTTCTATCGAGTAAGTACAACTGCTCAGGACACTTTCTAGTCTGACGCCCACTGCATTGCAACCACATTAGAGTACGGAACAGGGACAGAGGTCAGGTTTGCATGGGGTATGAAATAACATTTTAGATCTGTTATACTTACTCGTTGTGGCCTGTTTGTAGCTGGGTTACCTAATATTCAAACTTTCAAAAAAAAATTGACTTTATAATTGTTAAGAAATGTTATGTGTATTATCATATTAATAAATGTGTGTAGATTAGGGTAGTCAAGTTAACCAACTAATGCATTAAGCGTGGCGAGAATGCAGAATTCTCCCCGCCCCGAGGCAAGAGTAAACAAGAGCATAAGTAAACAAGAGCAGAGTAAACAAAACAAGCATGAAGCGAGGAAACATCTGTGTTGTGACAAGAAGACACTTCTCCTGACTGATGAGAGGAGATTGGTTTTCTCACCTAGAGTTCGATAGGTCATAATTGTCACCATATGGTCACATGTGTGTTTTAGAACTTTGGTATAAGAGGCGAGGCGTAACTTTCAGGGTCTGTCTTTTTGCTTTGCCTGTCATCCGCAGCAGACCCAGGTTGTCTCTCTCTGCCTGTCTTTTATATGTATTCTGTTTTATATATTAAACCTTCTTTTATATCTATCTAAGTTTGTAATTCCCTTCCTTTCATCGGACGACTGTTTAAGGAAACCTGGTGAACCAGCATTAACAATAATAAAACCTATGCAACTAGTACTAGCTTTAGGAGAGTCATCTTTTGTTATTTCTTTAGCATATAGAAATACAAAATGAGGCAAAATGACAAGCAAAAATTATTGCTTCCGATTTAGATTAGACATATGTAATCAGAATTCACCATCCGAAATTCCCATAAACTTTGCACAAACTACTTTTTATGCGAGAAAGACAAAGCCTATCTGAGGACCACATTAAGAGCAGCGCTAATGCATCTACTCACTCTCGCTGCATCTGACAGTTTGTTTTTCCAGCATGAAAAATGAAAATGGCTGCAGTTCCTTCCTATACGCCGCTAATGAGCCGCCTTTAATGAGCACGGGTCTCACCTTTTCAAAAACGGGCTTATTGTTATTCACGTCATCCACTCCCACGATGACCTGAGCCGTGGACGCGAGCGCCTGAGGTCCCCCCGAGGCGTTGTCATCGGTGGCCGTGACGTTTAGCACATACTCCACCCCCTGCAGGCGTGGGGGAGGACTGGAGCGCAGACGGATCAGTCCTGGAATCAGAGAGAAACAAACACGGCCGTCAGAGAATATTGGTATGTCAAGGCAAAAGTGCTCCCCCCTGGCTAATTATGAAATGAAGACAGTTTTCACACCTTCACTACTTCATTCTGCAAAGTGGACACTGGTACATTAACCTCGTGAACTTGCCGGCCTTGACGGGCGATGGCTGTCAGATCTCCCGAGAGGTTTATTCACTGAAGGAATTTTATTGAATGCTCCCACTTGCATGAGCTATTGGTTTGAAAATACATTTATTCTCATTGTGATGTTCTTAACCCGAGGACTCCCAGAATTCTAAAAGTATTAGAACTTATTAGGATGGCCTCCATTCAAATCAAAGAATTTTTGAGAAAATCCCAAAAGACAGTTTAAAGAAGCTATACCCATTTTTTTTTTTTTATGAGTTCATAAAAATGCTTATTACTACATACAAGTAGCATTGTAATCCGTAATTTAATTGAAAACTTGAGCTCATTGATTCGGCTTGTGTATGAATTCAGGCCGTAAAAACTGCTGAGTAGAGACTTAGCGTGACGCCAGCTTTACCCCAGCTTTCCTCCGCTCACAGAATGAGGAGCGGCGCTGCGTCCTCTAGCCTCTGCAGCGCTGCTAAACACAGTAGCATGTTAGCAGAATTGGCTATAACTCCTCTGGCTGTAACTGCAGACACAGCCAAACAGTCCAAACAACAAAACCGTGAGGAAGGGAAGAGGGAACTAAAGCGAAAAAATGATCAAAGAAGAAATCAAGCCCGGGTGAACATAGCTAGCTTACATTGTATCCTCTAGAGAGACTTGTCTATGGGAGAGACCTGCGTGACCGCCCCGGACTATCTATGCTCGGACTATCTATGCTCAGACTATCTACGCTCGGACTATCTACGCTTGGACTATCTATGCTCGGACTATCTACGCTCGGACTATCTATGCTCGGACTATCTACGCTCGGACTATCTATGCTCGGACTGTCTACGCTCGGACTATCTATGCTCGGACTATCTACGCTCGGACTATCTATGCTCGGACTATCTATGCTCGGACTGTCTATGCTCGGACTATCTATGCTCAGACTAGATTTGGACGCGGAACGAGCGGCAATCTTTCAGTTATATTTTGTGTTAGCAGTGCGTTGCTTTTGAATCATTTCATCGGTGATTGTTGTACAGCTTACAAGAAGTTGGGCTAATGCTAATGTTAGCATACGTATCAGACCGCAAATAAACCTAGAGGGCTCCGTGGAATGAGAGTGTAGGGGAAATGAGAAGCCTGTGAGCGAGTTGGGGGACGGTGCTAAACATTCAAACCTTGCACAAACGGGTATAGCTCCTTTAAGTTTTTCACTAGTTTTATTAAAATTAAGTGATTCATACGTTCTTTTGAATCTTTAACGCATGCTAAAACTGGTGAATACAATTGTGATACAGCTGCACTAACTGCTGTAGGTAAACAGTGTGTTGCTGTAGTAACTAGCACTTGCTCCAAGCTGGACTCGCTGGTCTTAACATTTGGCTTGGACACATTTAAAGTAAGATAAGATAGATATTAGATGCAAATGTAATATATTTCAGTTTAACATTACAATGAAAGCCTCTTTATATGTCTCAGTAATTTTACCTCCAAATGTAAGTATATAAATATTTTAAAAGTGCTATAGCAAAGGTAATAATATAGTTTGATTTCACCACCCACAATCTTCCATGAGTCTCAAGAGACCGGAAAGACCGACCTTTTTTATGAGCCGGACTGTCGAAACCCCTCATGTGCCCACAGTGTGATCACGTTTAATAATGTATATTTAGTGCTTGAGTGCTGCCATTTTCTCACTCATAAGTCAGCGAGAGACTGAGACTTTGACTCTAAGACTTGGTGATATTATGAAACCGGTTTTAGTGATCCGTCTCCTTTCCAGTAAAAAAATCACTTCTTCTTCAAACTAAACCAGAGAAACATCTTTCATTAAAAAAGTGACACTAACCATCAAGCCTGACAACACATGAATTATTTCCATTTTCAAAATCATGAACTATATATTACTTACTTGTACTTGCTTCTTTATTATGCTAAAGTAGGAGATTTTAGAAGTTTTTCCTTATTATGCTAAAGATTGATATTTTATACCGCTTCTTTTTATGCTAGAGTTCGAGTTTTAGTATAGAGTTATTATTCTTTCATCTTGTGTTGTGTGCCTGTCCTCTGTGATGCAACACTGGAATTTCCCCACTGTGGGACAAATAAAGTGTATATACCTATACATAATATATATTAGCCATTCTGCTACATACTGTCCCAGGGTGTAATTCCTTGACTTCTAAATCCTAATAAAACTTTGTGGGGAAACTGGCCCGAAAGGCAAGGCAAGTTTATTTATATAGCACAATTCATACACAAGGCAATTCAAAGTGCTGAACAAAACAAGAAAGCATTAAAATCATAAATTATCACAGAACATTAAAAAGAAAGATAGAAATATAAAATCCCTCAGTTGTATGCACAGCTAAACAGAACTGTCTTTAACCTGGTTTTAAACATTGTCAGAGAGGAGGCCTGTCTCACATCTTCAGGAAGACTGTTCCAGATTTTAGCAGCATGAATCTGAAAAGCAGCCTCCCCATGTTTAGTTCTGACTCTGGGCACTAACAGGAGTCCAGTCCCTGTGCTCCTCAGAGTCCGGGCTGGTTCATATGGGACTAACATGTCACTAATATATTTTGGTGCGAGGCCATGGAGAGACTTGTACACAAGCAGAGCTGTTTTAAAGTCTATTCTCTGAGCCACGGGAAGCCAGTGCAGAGACCTGAGAACTGGACTAATGTGGTCGTACTTCCTGGTTCTAGTCAGGACTCGAGCTGCTGCATTTTGAATGTACTGCAGCTGTTTTACAGCCTGTTTGGACAGACCTGTGAGCAGGCCATTGCAGTAGTCTAACCTACTGGAGACAAATGCATGGATAAGAATCTCCAGGTCTGCTTTAGACACTATGTTTTTGATCCTGGCAATATTTTTTAGATGGTAAAAAGCTGCTGATGTTACTGATTTGATGTGGCTATTAAAATTTAAGTCTGAGTCCAGTATTACCCCTAGATTTCTGACCTTGTTTGAAGGTTTTAGGGAGAGAGACTGTAGGTGACAGATGACGCTCTCTCTTTGTTTCTGGGGACCAAAGACAATCATTTCAGTTTTGTCTGCGTTTAGCTGAAGGAAGTTGTTTTGCATCCACTCACTGATCTGTTGGATACAGTGAAGGAGTGAGTCCACTGGTCCATGTTTTCCTGCAGTCAGTGAGACATAGATCTGAGTGTCGTCTGCATAGTTATGATAGGACCTTCGTTTCTGCGTATTAACTGACCTAACGGCAGCATGTAGAGATTGAACAGAAGAGGTCCCAGGATCGACCCCTGTGGGACTCCACAGGTCAGGGCTATATGATCTGAGATACAGTTTCCAATCTCCACAAAGTACTTCCTGTCTTCAAGGTAAGACCTAAACCAACTTAGGGCGGTGCCAGTGACGCCAACCCAGTCCTCTAGTCTCTGTAAGAGGATCTCATGGTCGACGGTGTCAAAGGCAGCACTTAGATCTAACAAGATTAAGATTGAGACTTTGCCTGCGTCAGTGTTCAGCCGGATATCGTTTGTAACCTTGACAAGAGCAGTCTCAGTGCTGTGGTGGGGTCTAAAGCCGGACTGAAACATATCAAATGAGTTGTTGATTATAAGAAATCTAGTAAGCTGTAGGTAGACAACTTTCTCAAGGACTTTCCCCATAAATGGCAGATTTGAGATGGGACGATAGTTGTTAAGTACCGTAGCATCGAGACTGCTCTTTTTTAGCAGGGGCCTGATGACTGCAGTTTTCAGGGCCTTTGGGAATATTCCAGAATGAAGGGACATGTTTACTATCTGTGTGAGTGAATGTAACAGACTGCTCAGAACAGACTTTAGAAATCTAGTGTGTAACACTGGTGAAAAATCCTGTAAGAGTGATACCTCGGTTTACAATACTGATCTTTGCGTTCCCCCCTGCGTGCGCGTCTCGTGACCGGAGCTGGCCAATCAGCCGGTTATATTTTTCCTAACCAGGAAGCACTGGTAGTGCGAGAAGTGCCGTGTATTGGGTTGCTGCAGGTACGGTTTCTGCTTATTTACTGCACCATAACATCCAAGGCTTATTATATGTATTGCTGTATGCAGGAACCGAGCTACCATCACCCTAGCGCACTTAATGGAGCGTTTGATTGCTCAGAATCGGGAGAATCGGTAAGCGCTCTCATGAGCTCTCATTCATTCAGCGTCTAGCTTAGCATTAGCCGTTCCCCCTGTTTTTAATGGGTTCGGTTAGCATCTGCTATTTATGCCAATTTTCTCTGTGCTTTGTATTTAATGTCCAAACCAAATGACGATCATGTTAATGAGATTATTGTTGAATCATGACACTGTTTACATGCACTTTGTGGCGTTTTTTTTAACCTGCATATGAAATCATGTTATGATTTAATCCTTTTGCAATGCACTAGCACTTTATTTTGTAGAGTTGCTATGAGATTATTGATTGTGCAATAGCACTATGCACTTTCACTTAAATGATTGAGTACAAACAGTTAAGCATTTTTCATTGTCTTAATTATAGAAACTTTTGTAGAATAGTTATTGTGATATAGTAGCATCCTATTGCACTTTTAATTATGAAGCGATGTGCATCCTATTTGAATATGTATTGACTTTGTGTACACATGGATTAATGACAAATTACTGATGTATTTTCTATAGTAATTTAGAAGTGTATTAATGTAGTTTTGACGTAATTAGTATTATGTTTAGTATATACTAAATGGAGTTAATGAGGGTACTGTTCTGTTATACAGGCCAGGTTTCGATGGCGAGCTAAAGAACTGGAACTAGTCCTGGACCTGCTTGAAAACCTGAACCCACCTACCTCAATAGGGCTGGTAGGAGGCTCTTGCAGCCAACCATACAAACTCTCGCACCTTGCACTTTATCCACGACCCCAACCATTGCCTCCTTTTCACTCCTCACACGGACACTTACCTCTGGACTCAAAACAATTCTCGGGTCGTGTGGATTTCGCTCTGTTGAGCGCGTGCAGTTCCAATTGTGTTGTGCGAATGGCCCACGGGTCACGTGTAAATATTGAACTCTAAACCTATGACTTGTGTGTGTATATATATATATTGCCTTCTGTTCTGTGTATTGAGTGTATATGGGATTTGAGTATGTGTGAATGGCCATTCTAATTCTATTGTCAATATTGTCTAATTGTGTACAATACATGGTACCTTTTTAATATGCAACTACAAACCCAGTCTTTGCCTCTTCTCTCCCTGAGTCTTATCTATTCTTTCTGAGTTGAACTAGCCTAACTACTGAACTTGTTGAACTACTATTGTTAGTATTTATTGTAACTAGCTATTTAATTAGCAACATAAGTGCTACATATCTATGGCGAGCTAGCCAGGAGAGAATTGACATAACTGGGTCGGTACTAACTTGTGGTGGAACACAACCAGACAATAATGGATTGTTTTGAGAACCTTGGCATAAAAGTTCCCAATGCAGTAATCGTTGAAGGCGATAATACGCACGACTTGCGAGAGGAAGTACTTGAGTTTCTGAGTAAGCATGGCTCTATTTCAAAGTTTGAAGTTATTACCCAGCCTGGATCTACGTTAGATGGTGCCATGGTTGTTGAGTTTAATCATGGTACGACTATCACTGCGATGCGTGACATATTGCCATATACTTATATCAGTAGCGACAAAACAGTTTCATGTAAAATTTCAGCACTTGCTAATGTGGAGGCAGCTCGAGTAGAGAAAACTCAAACTGACGCTTATTTGTCGGAGCTGAAAAAAATGGCTAAAAATACAGGAAAGGATTATACTGATGTTCTAAAAGATGTCATGTCTCTACTTGGTCATTCTATCGCTGGTCTCAGTCCGTCCCAAGATAAGACAGAGGATAAAGAGAATGTGATGCTTTCCATGCCTCCGGTCAGCAGGTTGGAGTCGCCTGTCCTGCTGCCACCAGGCCCAGACCCGCATGAAGCATTACATCGTGCCAAGACTCTACGCGATGGCCAGTCCAGAGCTTCGTTCCCATCCATGCCCGACCTCAACCCACCAGAAGTACAGCGCCTTGTGGTCGAACACATAGTCAAGAGTGAAGAAAGTGCAATGCTCCACATGTCCACACAAAGACTGAGAGTATTCTCTGGCCGGTTACCAAGGCCGCAAAACGAGTCGGACTATGAAACTTTCCGTTCCACTGTGGATTTAATGTTGAAAGATCCAGCCGTCTCAGATCTGCAGCGATCACGCAGGATTATTGAAAGCGTGTTACCTCCAGCAGCGGATATGATCAAGCATCTGAGGCCGGAGACACCTCCAGCAGTCTATATGCAAATACTCGATTCAGCATATGGCACAGTCCAAGATGGGGAAGAACTCTATGCAAGGTTCATGGACACATTCCAGAATGCTGGAGAAAAGCCATCATCTTATGTACAGCGGCTCCAAGTAGCCTTGAATGCAGCAATGAAGAGAGGGGGAGTCCCACACGCTGAAGTTGACAAGCACTTGCTCAGCCAGTTTTGCAGAGGTTGTTGGGACAATGCTTTAATTTCAGAACTCCAACTTAAACAGCGCAAGCTTACCCCACCGTCCTTTGCTGAACTTCCGCTGTTGCTTCGTACGGAAGAGGACCGTCAAGCAGCTAAAACGCAAAGAATGCAGCAACACTTGGGG